ATTTGGTGGAGACATTGGTCTGGGCGGACACCCTGGTGGGTCGCACAGGAGCATACCTCCAAGGTGCTACTCACGTTGGATGATGGTGACTCTGGTCCGGAGGAGTGGTTTGGAGGTGTGGGATGTCCTCACATAACCGGGCGACGGGCACTGCCGACTTTTGTCCAGCACAAGCACAATGCAAATGTCTCTCATTCGAGTTCCCTCCCAGCCATCTGACCCTTACCCCCCCCCCCCCCATCCCTGTTTCCAGGTCGGGATATGTTCGGGCCGCCGTCGCCGGTCGTCCCGCGCTGTCAGAACTGTGGCGCCACCGTGCAGCAGATGCCGCCGCGGCCCCGGCCGCCCACACTGCCACCTAGCGGCGCCGCCGGGAACGACAAGTTCGTCAAACCGACGGCGCCGGCCATCAGCATTGGCGCTCCGGCCATGTCACCCGGCAGACCGAGGGTGAGACTAAATGCTTACTTCAAAATCTAAGCGGTGTTGCGGCATTGGCGGTTATGTGCGGCGTGTATGCCGCATGATTAGTAAGCGGCGACCACTAAATTAAAAACTTAAACGCTCCAACCTGTTTTCAATGAATAACACTGCATACCGAAAATGCCAATCGCTCTCGTCATAAGATATTTAGATTTAAATAACTAAGTTATCTGCATCATCATTTTGAACCAAATTAATGCTTTCAACTTAGTACTCACTCATTCCTTCCTTCGTTGGCTCCAAACAGTTTTTCGATTGTCTGGAAATCGTATGCCAAATCCCGCACCTGTATACGACTGGTGCATATAAAGGCCGATGTAAGAATTTCAATAGGCTCTCACATGCGATTTCCTGGCTACCCAAAAAGTCTGTTTCAGTCATGCTATCAAAACATGGTATGTCAGCCCTGTCACCAGCTTATGACTGCTCTGCTTGTAGTGCCCCTGACCGTCACCGACTCCCTTCCCTCCTTAAAAGCCTAGTTTCCCTCCATCATCTCTCCACTAGATTTAGGTGATGCTCCGACAAATTCACAAACAAGACCGAACTTGTCCGGAGTTCGGACTGTGAGTTAACCCTCGCCCTTTAGGGGGGGGGGGGGGGTCGAACGGACTCCCTTCGGTTTTTCGCGAATAACTCGCGTAAAAAGCGGCCGATCACGACGTAACTTTTAGTACCCTCGCGTTGATTAATTTTACACCTACCCTGAAAATTTCATGACCCTGACGCAAATAACCTTTGACATGTGACCTACTTTTCGAGACCATGTTTGGCCGGATCCACGATTCAGCGTATGTCGGCTCGCATTAGCAGCGCGTTTGCAGTCTTTTCGTGGTTTCAAGCGTTCAAACATGTGATATGATGTTGCCCCCATGCATTAGGGTGGGTGTCAAGGTCACCTGAAGGTCAGGTCATTGACCTTTGGTGACCTCGGTTCACTTTTTCGAGTTTGACATGTTTCTAGGCCAGTTTTTCGAGCTGAATTCGAATTAAGCAACCACATGAACGTTTACAAAGTAGTTTTGGTGCCTTCGTAACATGTTACGAGGCTGTCAGAGGCGGTTGACACCTAGGTACTACAAATACCCGGCAGGACCTCTACTGGTTGACCTGACCTGACCTAACCCGACCTGGCCTAAATGAATGAAGACATCATCTGTGATCAAAACTAGCATGATATTCGTGATCAGCACCCCGAAAAACCCCATAGCAGCCACACTACGACGTTCTAACAGGTCCCAACTTTCCCGCCTTTTGGGTCATTGACCTGACCTGGAAGGTCAACCGATGACCTAGGACCTTAACCCGCGCCCGGCTGGGGGTCCTGGATTTCCACGCCCTGCTGGGGGGGGGTGTTTGAACACCCCCCCTTGTAACTCGGCTCCTGGGCCACGTAGCGATACGCGGAAGGCGGCGTTCGAAAGAGCGTCAAAAATAAGGAGGAAATCACTTCGGTCAATTTTTTGGTCAGGTCAAAGGTCAGGTCACCAGAGGTCATTGAAGGCAAAATTTCGCCGATTTCCAGGTCGAATGTCGAAAATTTCCAAGAAGCCAACGCATAACTCGGGAACCAATAGAGCTACAGCGCCGCGGAAAAGCGCATTCGATAGCCCTATTAACGCCCTTTCTGAGTAATTCTCTCAGATTTGATCTACCGTCAACGGTTTTGCCTGCAGGGGGCAAAAACTGCAAAAATAGCCGATTTTTTCGGAAACCGTTTTTCTGCAATAACTTTTGACCCAAGCCTTGTACGAGCTTACTTTTACCAGCATCGTGTTCCTCTCGTCAAGACGCATCGAATGAACTATAACTTGACATTGAAAGGTCAACTTAAAAATTTGACCTCAGGTCAAGGTCATGACCTGACCGGAAAGGGTCATGTTGCATATCAGTCGATCCGTATCGTCTAGCTGAACACATCTAAGGCGTTTTCATCGCTCTAGCATGCCTCTATCAAAAGTTATTTGCGAAAAACTGTTAGATACCATTCGTGACCTAAGATGACCTCAGGGCATAAACAAGGGTCACGGACACCATTTTCATGTTCAGTGTGTCTAAACCACTTGTAATTCGGTGTTTGGGAGTGTTTATAATGTCTTTCGTCCAAAAGAGGCGCATTTCAATTTTCTCCCATTGACTTATAATGGAGAGGTCGCAAAATTGACCTGACCTTAGGTCATCGATATCAAAATTCTGAGATATACATTTTGTACATGCTATTGCTCTTAGCAATCGCTGAAAGTTTCAAAGCGATCGGTCACTCGGTGTAGCTATGACAGACATTGAAACTTTTTATGAGGTGAGGTCACTTCAAGTGACCTGGTGACCTGACCTTGAATGACCTTGGTCTGAAATTTTCACAACATGTGTAGAATCGATGTATGATAAGGTGTACCAAAAACGGCGGCGCTCCGCGCCGCCGTTTTTGAGATATTCGCGAAAAACCACAAGGGGGGGGTGTTCAAACACCCCCCCCCAGCAGGGCGCGGGTTAAAATTGGATATCATCGGCTTCCTCTCGTCACTGGCAACACGCTCGTTTTTTCCGCGAAGCTCTAGCTTGATCAGGAGCGAAACGGCAAACGGCGAAACCTTATGCGTTCGTGGCTGGAAAAACACCAATACGGGCGAGGGTCAAGTTGAAAGTATTAATTTGGTTCAAAACAATGATATAGATAAGTTAGTTATTTAAATCTAAATATCCTATGACAAGAGCGATGGACATTTTTCGTATGCAGTGTTATCCATTTAAAACAGGTTAAAGCTATTGAGCTTTTAATTTAGTGGTCGCCGCTTACTAATCATGCGGCATACACGCCGCACATAACCGCCAATGCCGCAACGCAGCTTAGATTTCGAAGTAAGCATTTAGTCTCACCCGCAGACCGATGCAGGTTAGAGAGGGAACGGGGTGGGGTGGGGATGGGGAAGGTGTTACAGGGAAGCCGGGGGGGGGGGTAAGGGGTATTTTAAGGTAGAGAGTCTGTTGATTGCACGCGAGTGTGTTCAGTGGAGAGGAGTCCTTGTGATGTCCAAACTTCCAAAACGAATCTTACGGGTTAGTTCTGCCTATTATTTTCCGGCCAATGTGTATTGGTGGATGCAATGTACTCCTTTGATTTTGGGTGGCTTGTTTCAGATTATGCTTTAGTGCTTTTCAAGTTAAATCCCAATGTTTGAGTTCGACCGTTCTTCGAAAAGCTCGCCCGTGTACGAATATCGCTACTTATCGTCTTGCCTCTGACTTTGTGTTTCCGTTTTCTGCCGCCAGATGTCTCCGACGCTGTCGTCGGGCCGGGCAGCCACCCCGACTGACCCGCCGGCCTCCCCCTCTTCGACCGTACCCGGGTCACCCATGGACACTTCGCGCGCCTAGTCTACCGCCCGCCCCGCCCCCTCTGCGCGTGGCCACGCCCCCCAGCCACGCCTACAGCCACGCCCCTCAGCTCGACTTGGACGCTGGCCTGGCAGACCGGCCCTCGACCGACCGCTATGGATTGGTGATACACTCTCCGTGTTTCTTTTTGGCAGCGATGGAAGAGAGAGACCACAGTTACAGAAACAACAGGACTACACGAACTCGCAGCCATTCGCGGTGTATGTTCGGACAGCTACATACATTATATTCTCGATTTGACGCTATACATGTTGATGGATACACATGCATACATGAATTACATACATGCAGACGCACACACATGCAGACAGACAGACAGGCAGACAGACACACAATATACAGAGAAGGTTGCCCTGTAATTCGGTACCCCTCCCTTTACTTTTCTTTGCTCCCCGTGCCGCGCCTTGAATGTTTGTTTTTTTCGTGCCGGTGTGAGCGCGGGCGCCATGTTGGCCACACAGCACGTGTTTCGCACGTACGGCGAGGGCGTGCACGTGCGGGGCGACCCTGGCACGTGCGCTATGTGTGCTTTCCTCTCGGTGTTGCCGCTGCCGCGCGGTCCGTGATTGGTCTCTGAACTGGAACGACGGCTGTCTGGATCGACAGCCGGTCTTACGGTGCGCTTGTGCTGCTACCTGGCGGCGGCTGTCGGTACTGCTACTTACGCCTTTCGACGCCAGGGTCGGGGTTGGCGCTGCGTCCGCTGATGTCGCTTTGATCAATACAATACGATACTGTGTTTTTGGGATTTTGTGTGTGGACCGCTCTTTTGTGTAATGTTACAGCCTGTAAGATCAAACATGGATCTGCAATAGCTTGGTAGAGGCATCTCCAGGTGTAACGAACAAATGGATCGTTTTTCGCGCGCGCCTTTCGCGTTTATCAGTTGTCCCGGTCGGTTATTTCACTTGCTATATCGTTTCAATCATGAACCCAGAGGCACTCCGCCTTTTTTTGCGAAATGATACGCATAACATTATAGATATGCGGGCACAGTGGATTTTCCCGTTTTTGAAGGTCTACTTGTAATTTTACTCGGGAAATAAAAATAAAATCAGCTGATTCGCATTTTTGCAGCAAAACATGCGCCAAAAGTGTCCCACTCGGCTTTGTTTACGATTGGCATGTGACCTTTGAGCTCGTGCTCGCTGGGTGCTTCCTCGACCTTCGATCGTTCGCGGGTTCCCGTTCTTTTGCCGCTGGACCGCTGTGCTGTCAGGTTGCTGCAACTACTCCGTGAAGCAGAAACTGATCGCCGGGCACACCTGTAACTTTGCAGGTTAGCGGAACAGGAACACTGCTAGCTTCGTTTCTTGCCCTGTGGCCTGTAGTACTAAAAAAAGCTACTTTTACCGTTTATTTAAGTGCTTTTTTAAATGTTCAGGATTTGTGTTTCCTATCTTGATCTGCATATATCGATATATGTCATACCCTCATATTCGTCCTGTGACCAGTAGCTCAGTTGTCATTGATTATTTATCAGACTGCTCTTCATGCTCGCTTGTAACCAGTCACAGTCATCAGCCGTCAAATGGGCCATTATGAAGGCGGCATGGGCATCTTGCCAAGTGATAAATATGAGAATTGATCGCTGGATATGTGTTGACACAGTATTTCTCATTTCAACTTTCAGGTTGCCTTGCTATCATTGCAAGGACTGTTATTTTCTGCTGCATTCAAAATGGCAGAGATGCTGCCCCAAAACCCAGTGGAGGAGGAGGAGACTGAAGCCAAGTAAGAAATGCTGGCAGTGGCATCAGCCCTCAGGTTCCTGACCACTGCTTTGCTCCAGCATCCACGCTCCCTGATTCACTGCTCCCAATGTTCCATCCAGACTGGAAAAAATACACGTTATGCCGAATATGTCTGGCGGGATTGCGCCAAAAATTTCAGCGCACGTCCGGCGTAACTTCGCACGCGTCGAATTCAGCGCATGGCGGCAGACAAATTTTTCGGCGCAGGGCTGAGGGCGGTCTCATATTTTTTTTTTTGGCGAAAGACGGTCACCGAATTTATGCGGTACGCTGGTCAATCTAGCAGCAGATTCGCCCCGTGGGCGGCTCTGGAGAGGTTGCGGGACGAGACGTCCCCGCCCCGGTCGTCACGTTCTCGAACTGGCGAGCCGCCCTGAGTCTACTCAGCGGAGGAATGGCCGCCCAGGTGAGGCCTCAACCTTTGGCGTAGAGATAGGTATGGAAAATCTTGTTGAGTCGCCAAGCGTCATTAAGCAATAGCAGTGGGTTCCTGCCCACTGCAGTATCGAGGGGAATGAGAGCGCGGACGACCGGGCAAAACAGGCGGCCGCCCTGCCCTCAAACGCCCGATCGCTGACCAGGGCGGTTCATTGTGCGGCCTCGCATCAGTGGCGCGACAACTGCTCAGAATCACTATTCAAGCCACTCCTCGGGAGCACGCCGCCGCTCCCTATCCCCGGAGAGGACCGAGAGGATGCCATTTCGGTGCGCCAGATCAGGGCGGGCCACCGGGGCCGCTCGCTCCAATACGGCACCGAATCGGCTGTCTCCACTCCGCCGCGTGCCAGCAGTGCCCAGACAAGCGGTGCCCAGCGGCGCTCTGCACCGTGAGCCGAGAAGAGGCTGATGTGCCGGAGCACGTGCTGCTCCGCTGCCGGGCCCTCGCTGGCTCCCGCCGAGGTATTGGGTTTACGTGGAAATAAAAAAACTCATTTGAACGCTCAAACATGGGAGAGCGTAGAAGGCCCCGAAACACTCTGTCTGGTTGATATGGCCTTGATCAGTACATGTGCACATGTGCTTTTTATGAAAAGGGGTTAATTTTCGCACAAATAGGCATCTAATTTTTGGCGCAAATCACCCAGAAATTTCGGCGCAAAATTGCTTGCGCCGAATTTCGGCGCAAGAGGGTCTCACGGGCGTCCGGCGTAGTGTATGGATGTTTTCCAGTCTGGTGTTTCATCAAAGCTCCCAATGTTGATGTTCCCACAAAGTGGCCTAATTTGCACTGCAGTGGTCATTAAGCCTTTTGGGGGGACAACTGTCAAACAAGTGAGCATGAGAGTGGGCTATGCATGTGTGGAAGTGTGAGAGCAAGATAGCACATGCTGTCTTCTTCTTCTTGGTGGATCAAAGAGTGTAGCCACACTTATCACACTTAACCATCCAACAACACTGCACACCCTAGTCTGGCTGAGAGGGTATTTCCTACTGACTTGTACTGTGTGCATGACACTGTAGGCATTGACCATGTCTAGTGGTTTGCCAAATTTGAGCACAGCCAGCCTAGCCATTCTTGAGATATGGAAGCATCATCCTTCATGTGTTTATGTGCAAGCTGGATCCCAACTGACTTTTGCACAGCATCCTACTCGCCAGTCCCTACACCGTTATCTGTACTGTGTGTAATGTAACTGTGTACCAAATTTCAACGCAACCGACGTAGCCGTTCTCTAGATGTGGAAGCAACCCCTGCACGTGCGCTCGTGCATCAACACCCCGACCATGACACATTGGAATGCATTGTCTGATTGGCGCCTACATACTTACATGGCAAGTTTCACTGCAATCGGCCGAGTAATTACTGAGATATTACAATGGTAACAAAACTGGCGTCCCTTGGTTCTGTATGTGGCACGTGCATGTGGTGTCACCTGCATGCATCGGAAGTAGTTGAATAAGGGGAATAAGGGATGAAGCTACGCAACAAAAGACCGGGAGTGAATCGGTCTAGTGGTTGCACAGATAAAGCCCAGCAAAAGTGGCAGGCCTGCCGCTCATACTCAGAAATTGCCCATATTCTATGGGAAAACTTCACTTTGCCCTGTCATTCATAACCAACTGGAGCGGGTATGCAGTCTAGGGACTCGTAACTTCCAAATATTTTCATTGTTATCCCTCCAATTTATTCAGCCTTTGCTTGTATTGTGTAACAAAATTGTTAATTAACACATGGTTCTTCGATATTCTCCAATATTCAGTGTTCTTCAGTCTTCCACCTTACCTTCAGAGATGACCCTGCCTTCATCTCTTTATAGCCGTCTTACAACTTCACCTCCATCACGTCCACAGCCAGCTGCTGCTTCGTCACGCATCGCAGAGCTCCCTGGACGAGAGTTCCCAGCGTCAAAGCCAGCGGGAGCCGGCGCCGGACCGACCGCCCTATCGGAACACCTCGCACAGCGCGCGCGCCTTTCAGCAGATGTTCTCCATGAGACGGTCAGTGGTGGGGGCTGTAGGGGCGAGTTTGGTCGGTATTTGGTGGGGAGGTATGAGTTTTGTGCCTTCGTTCTAGCCTTCAGGGACGAAGAGAGTCTGTAACGACAAGTTTCGTGGGTGAGGTCAGATGTACAGATGTACTAGGTCAGATGTAGGTATTGGTTCTAGGTTTGACCCTGAACTCGTAGTTGATTGAAATTCATATTTTCAGGTGTTTTGTTTATAATTTGAATACAGATATATGTCGATACTAATAATGATTATACTGTCACTTCGTTCTCCCTGTTGTTTGAACAATCCCATCACCGATGACGTCACTCCTTTTGCACAGGGAGCGGGCGTTATGTGACGTCATCCTGGAGGTGGACAGCCGAGAGATATACGCGCACAAAGTGGTGCTGGCGTCCGCCAGTCCCTACTTCCGGGCCATGTTCACAAGTGAGTGTGAGGGGAACGGGGCCAGGGGGTAACAGGGACAGGGGGAACGCTGGACGCTGGACAGAAAAGGAAGGAGGGAAGGAGATGGGAGGGAAGTGAGCGAGAGATAGAGAAAGGGAGAGAGGACTTTGCTGGAGACAGGAAGCTAGGAGATAGAGAGTACTGCTCTGCATCCTTGATAAGCAGTGCTATGCAATGGCATCAAGGTCATTGAAGTTCTGTTCTTACGACTCTCAGATCTTCTCCGCTCCAACCGACTGAATAAATCGCAAATAGATCGCAATGTCAGCCTTCGTGACAAATGCGATTCGTCAACACCCAATCCAACATAGTTACCACCTAGCTAGTCACTTCTTGCACCAACGATCCACACACACTCTGAGCACCATTACGTTATGTTCTTGACGGCATGTTCTCCGCCATGTTCAGGTTTCGAGGAGAGTCGTCAGAACCGTGTCAAATTGCAGGAGATGGATCCCACTGCGCTAGAGGCGCTGGTGGATTACATCTACTCGTCAGAGATTCGCGTCACGGAAAACAACGTGCAGGTGTGTAGCTACTGTTGTTTGGTGGTTGTTGTGGTTGTTTGGTACCTATTGCAGTTATGTTGATGGTGTTCATATATTTTCCGCTGCTTTGGAAGATAACTGGTTTATGAGAGGAGTTCTAGAAGTTGATAAATGCAATTATAAAACGATTGATCGCGTTCACCAGTTGGAATGCCGTAGAGGTGAATTCACAAGCCCGGTTAAATTATAAGCCGGTCATTTCTGACGCTATCGTCAATTTCCTGATGTTACACGGTTAAGTTTCCGTTCAATATCTGACACAGCTATCGTGGATGCCGGCTTTATCGAACGTGCCCATATTCACTTTCTGACGCACCCGTCCATATCTTTCGTCCCCTCCTGTGTCTTTCTTTACCACATGTCTCTAACGCTGCTGCCGCCGGTGCCGCAGATCCTGCTGCCTGCCTCGAACCTGCTGCAGCTGGGGGATGTCCGAGACGCGTGCTGCGAGTTTCTGCAGAGCCACCTCCATCCCACAAACTGCCTCGGTACGTACCGCTAGGGGGGGGGGGGGGTCGTTGGCACACTTCCGTTCCCATGTTATCGGGATAAGAGGCTCATTTCACCTCGTCTCCCCGAATTTAAGAAAATTATACTTTTTGCGACCTTTTGCTCGACGCATAAATTCATTTTATATTACGCTTGACTTGTCTGGGCACGACATTCTTAATAAACGAGAGGGGAGCTCATTTTTGTAGACAATGTCACATTTTGAGTCATCAAAGTGCAATTGTATTTGTTCCCAGCAAGATGGTGACCGCTTATGTTATAGTGACTGTGTGTATTGATCTAGCCTTTGTGTGTTCTCTGGCCAGGTATCCGTTCGTTCGCCGATCTCCACGGCTGTGTCGACCTGAAAACAAACGCCGACGCCTACATCGAACTCAACTTCTGGTGAGAGGGTTGGAATTGGTGAGCTTGTTAAGCCTGTTGTATGCCGTTTTTGATGGGTTAAATTTAATTATCATGGTTTCTAACGCTCCACTCCAAAAGTTATATGAAGTGCCGTGTTCTAGGAGTGTCTAACTCGTCCCTCCAACTCCCGCAGTGAAGTGGTGGAGTGTGAGGAGTTTCTCACTCTGACCGCCGATCAGGTGATACAACTCATCTCGTGCGATCGACTCTCCGTGGCCAACGAGGAAAAGGTGCGCGTTTGTTATCCTTAAGTTAACGTTCTCGCATTTTTGTAACAGAGCGCTTTCTGTGGGAGCTATTTCTTGCGTTCCAGCCCGGGTCCCTTACTTCTGTATAATATTCATTTCTGATCCAGGCCGCTCGTTTTTCTGTCAGATGTCCGAACGGCTCTGCTTAAAGCATTTCGTGGCTCCCACCCGAACCCTAAGTTCTAGTAACCGTTCAATATCCTGACTCACTCCGTTCGTTTTTCTCTGTCAGGTTTACGAGTGTGTGTTGAGATGGATCAACTACGACCTTCCGGCCAGGGAACAGCACCTAGCCGACCTCATGTCACAGGTACGGATTGGAGAGACAATCGATAATGTCGCTAGGCAGCAATGCAGTCCGGCTGGTGCTCTTTAAATCGAAACTTGCCAGCGATTTAATGAAAAGCGCACATAAAGCCTCAGTACCTGAATTTCTGGGTAGCTTAGATATCAACCTACTCTTAATTTTACATTTTGACAATATTTTCGTGCCTATGACCTGTGACGCGTTGTATTTAATTGTGAACTTGAAGCGATCTGCCAGCGTTCCATACGCAGTCTATACTCTGCCTTTTGCCATGCCTTTACTCTACCTTACCATACTTTGCCTTTAACCATTTCACTCACTCTGCGATGTGTGTGTGGTCAGGTTCGTCTGCCGCTGCTGTCCCGCGACTTCCTCGTGCAACAGGTGAAGAAGGAGCCTCTGCTGCAGCCGAACGCCGCCTGTAAGTACTGAATGATCTACCTACCCGGCTGGGGGAAACGCTGGACGTATGTCAGTCCTTTTAGGAATACCCGTTGATTTTCCTACCCTGCAGCAGGCTGCTGAAGCGATTTCAAGTCAGCCACTGTCAATGAATAAATTCTGCCGTGGACTGTGTTTTTATAAGAATTTGTAATATCAAAATAAGTAATGCAGTTTTGGTAAAATGTCATCACATCACTTATCTGTGACTTACGAAAGAATATGTGGAGCTGTAATTGCGAGGTGTTGTGCCATTTAACACAACTTTTTCTTTTTTCAGGTAAGGATTTTCTGATCGAGGCGCTGCTGTACCACCTGTCCGTGTCTAACGAGGGGGGTCCGGCCGTGGAGAGTCTCCGGACCAAACCCCGCCAGCCCGTCGGACTGCCGAAGGTAAGGGGTGTAAGATAAAGGATAACATTAGGAATACTGGAGAAATGAGAGACAGTGCGCGTTGTTGAGACCAGCAGGGTCTTTCACCTTGATTATTATTGTTATTATACAACATCATCTATAATTTTATTGTTACCCTTTTGCGCCGTCGCACGTCTTTTCGTGCATCAGTAGAAATAATAGTTTGAACGGGGCCTCACTGGCCCGGTGGCCTGAAACGGAAGGCAATATCATCCTCCACTCTGCTCTTGGCACGTATTTCCCATCAAGATCCCGTGTTATGCCATGATAGTATTGCCTGCTACGCTACCGCTATGTCACATGTTCCACCGGCTTGGTCTCCCCTATGTCAGATTCTGCTGGTGGTGGGTGGCCAGGCGCCCAAGGCGATCCGATCCGTGGAAGCGTACGATCTCAAACAGGAGAAGTGGCTCTCGCTCTCCGAGATGCCCATCAAACGATGCAGGTTTGTCTAGTCTGTCTGTTATATGTCTGTCTCTCTCTCTCCGGGACAAAAATACGATTGCAAATGTTCGTATGGCAAAGGTATGTACGTCAGCCAAATATGCACGTAGGTCAAAAGTACGTATCTCAAAATTATGTTCGTATGGCAAATTTACGTCAACAAATTTACTTAGGGCAAAAGTTTGTATCTCATTTTCTTTTTTGCAGGGCAAAAATACGTCAGCGAATGTACGTAGGACAAATTAGTTTGTATCGTCAATGTTTTTGTAGGACATTAATACTAAAACCCGCCTACCTAACCACCAGTGACTAGTTCCGTTTTCCGCCGCCAGGTGCGGCGTGGCGGTGCTGGACGGCAAAGTCTACACGGTGGGCGGCTTTAACGGCTGTCTCCGTATCCGAACTGTCGACCTGTACAATCCCCAGACAGACACCTGGCAGGGATGTGTCAACATGGAGGTGCGACGATCCACGCTGGGCGTGGCAGTGCTCAATGACTGCATCTACGCGGTGAGAGGGAAGGGGAGAGTCACAGTAAGGGCGAGGTACAGTCTGTCTTAAAAGTACCGCGCAAAGTGGCGGTGGATCCCTAAAGCCTGACCGAGGAAGGGCCTGCTATAATTTGAAAGTCACCGAAACAATTGACAATTGGGGAATGGACGAGGATGTCCATTGCTTCGGTGACTCAAATTTAGCAGTCCTTCCTCGGTCAGGCTTGATGGATCCACCGTTACTTTGCGCGGACAGACTGTACGGTGTTTTGGGCAAGGGAGGGAGTAGGGTCACCGCAGAGCAGATCTGTTGAGTGTTTAGATGGAAAAGTTTTTGCGTGGTGTATGGCACACGGAGCATTATTCCTTTCAGCTTTGATGTGATTTTCCATGTGTGTAGCTGGTTGAGGAACTAGAATTGGACGGACTGACTGTCTGGTAGGGGACTTCTAGGGTAGTTTCTGGCGGTTTCGGTTTGAGCTGCGATATATTTCTGGATCGGGTTACCGTCAGTTCTGGTCTGAAGACCGTGATATCCTAGGCCGATCATCAGATCCTGATCTTTTCCGCCATACTTGTAGCACCTATACAGTAATTCGTAACAGGCTACCGTAACCGGTTACTTGCCCTGCCTCCGTGACCTGACCTCATAACACCAGGCGTAACCCTTATGGGACCCAATCGCATACCCCTCCCCCCACCCCCACCCAGATCTGACCCTTCCTTGACCTCCCCCCATTTCACGCAGGTGGGCGGTTTTGACGGTTGCACGGGTCTCAACACGGCCGAGGTGTTTGACCCCAGGGTCGGAGAGTGGAAAATGATTGAGCCCATGTCGGTGAGAAGGAGCAGCGTCGGCGTCGGAGTGGTCAACGGCATCCTGTACGCGGTGAGTGGGGAGCAGAGTTAGTCGGTGTTGGGAGTTGAGTTAGCTTTTGCTGGGGGTTGAGTTCTGAGCGTTCTGAAACCATATATCGGCGAGGGGCTGATGAGTTAAGGCATGATATGATAGTTGAATGCCCGTCGTCGTGATTGTTGTGATTGGTGTTCGAGTTGAGAAAATTTTCGATCAGCTGTTAAGGTGGGTTTTATGTAGTACCTTACTTGTGAACGGTCGTTTATCATGTTAGTGTCAAGAGCAGAGCTGCGTGTAATGTTAATTATTACTGGGTTTTAATTGGCTTTTAGTACGAATTCGATCTCTAAGCATCGCCGCCCATAACCCCTCTATTTTCTTCACTTCTGTCCACCTTTTACCCCGCCCCCACCCCCTCGCAATTTGGCGGTTATGACGGTACCGTGGTAACTCAAAGTAACATCTCTGCCCCCTCTCTTCTTTACCCCCTCTGCCCCCTGTTAAACCCCTCTGTTAACCCCCTCTGCCCCCCCCCCTCCCCAGGTGGGCGGCTATGACGGCGCCAGTCGGCACTGTCTCTCCTCCGTGGAGGCCTACAACCCCGAGCTGGACCGGTGGACCATGGTGGCGGAGATGAACGACAGACGATCCGGCACCGGTGAGGACCAGGGGAGGGGAGGACGGGAGGAAGGGAGGGAGTGTGAGAGGGATAGACAGATTGGCCCACCTTCAGGTCGAAACAATTCACTGGAAAATTATATCTTTTATTTATAAAGAAACACCAACACTTCAATACCCGTTTACGGCCGCAGCAACATCCTAGCTCCATTTGCCAGGGACCATTTGCGGCATTTTGTCTCTGGTAGCGTAGAAAATTATAGGGTGAAGTCGTATAAGAGTACGCACTTAGTGGATTTCTTGCTCTCATTTGTTTAATATTTGAAGGAAAGAAATCGCAAATAGGGAATATTAAAGTTAATTGAATTAGCCATCAACCCATGGGGCAACGATCCTTCAGCGTAAATGGAAGTGGTCTAAAACTGACATTTTCTGAACCGTTGCACTTGCGTACTCTTACCATATGGGGTGTGTAAGAGTACGCACGCCAGGCGGGTGGAGTACGCAAGCATATGAACACACACCTATGCAGCTTGCACTGTCCAAATGCTTAACTTCAAACTCAGAAGGCATTTAAGTTAATTCTAGTATCCAAAAAGAAAAACATAAAATAAATCTTTCAAGTCTATAAATCAGGAAATAATCATGTCGTGTGTTTCTAAAAAAATGCACAATCAAAAAGGAGAATAACTCGTATTTGGAAGAATTTCGGGTACGCATCTGCATCACAGTGCTCCATTGATGATATACCTACCTACAAACAAACGTCATTGAGCGATAGATTAATAATTATATATTTCTGTATATTCGATTTAATGTATAATTCTGCGTACTCTTACCCTCCTGAACAGTGCGTCCTCTTACCGTACATGCAATTCGCGCACAAAACAACCCCGAAACGTTGTGCAAAACTTCGCAAACAGAATATTGCACTGTACAGTATTTCCCCAGATAACCTCACAAGTTTCCCACAACAATCACGGAAATGTACCTCATCTCAACTGCCAAGTATCAAAATTATTGTACCATATCATAATAATATCATAACGCTCGAAAATAATATTCATCGCCTTAAACTCAACAGCGTCGCCGCTCAACGCCCACGTTCCGTTGGTGACATGCACGCACTGGCGGCTTCATGTCACTTCATGAACTCGACAAACCTGCGTTGCTAAGCAACCGAAACAGCTGATGCGTACTCTTATCGCCCGCGTACTCTTACCCGCCCTTACCCTACTTCTTCCTCGTTTAGGAAGGCAACTAAATAACCTTTAATTAGACTAAGTTTGTTGGAATTAACGCATGAGAGCAGCAACGTTTATAAGGAGGCGAACCCCCGCGTTCTATCTCGCCCATATTTGCAAAAAAAAGAGGGAAGTCTATATTCCCACATTACCCCAGTCGCTGCGCCGTTTTTCGCCTCTGTCTCAAAGTGCGCCACTTGTGTAGTTAGCCACCCTGGCGCCTTTTGCCTTTGCTTCGCCGCCATTGTCGCTCTGTGTCGATAGCGGCGCGCTGCGTCAGGCTGGCGGCGAGCGTGGCGCATTCGCCGCCGCCGCTGCGGCTGACGCGGCGCTGACAGTGCGAATGTGCCCCCCCCCCCCCCGGAGCTGGACAGGGGGAGAGGGGGGGGGGGGGTCAGTGAGCGGTCTGGCGGGACCTGAGAGGACACCGAGAAAAAATGTCCCGGCTCGCTCTACTGGCGGTAGAGGTTTTGCAGGATGAAAGAGAGCGTTGTATTGTGTTGCTAGGTGACTGAGGATCTGTCGTCAGCCGATTTGCTATTTAGGCTTTGTTGGTGTATGTCCGGTGTTTAACAGGCAGAGTGTTGATTCATACTGATGTTGACTGAAATTGTGCCAGCTCAGGATTTTATTTCTTTATCGCTGACACATGTTGCGATGTTTGCGTGGAGCATATCTCACGTTGACCACGATTTGCTTGTGCGTTACAATGCCACACATTACGATGACATGACATACGTGATCTGCGATACACGCTTTCCGTTTTTGACTTGTTACAGCCGGGGACTTACACCAAGTCCCCGGCTTCTACGAATTTCGCTATCTTCATTTTCGCAATTTTTGCAGACTCCCCACCACACCATAATTTTCCTCGTTATTCGCGCCATCATCCACGTTAATTGTGTTTGAGATTGTCATCCCCGGAATTACCCAATCAATTCGGCGCGTGCAGTACCCTGAATAGCTCCGCTCGGAGGCTGGTGTCTGTTTGGTGGTTGAGTGCCGCGCTGTGTGAAGGGAGATGGTAAGACGGTGAGCGTTACTGGGCAGATAGGGAGGCCGGGGAGGCTGAATGGGGGAGGGGGGAAGGGGGTAGTGGAGGGAAGGAGAAGAGGCAGGGTAGGGGTTGCGTAAAGATAAGATAGGGCAGGGGTTGGTTAGAGGAAGGGAAGAGTATGGTTTGATTGATTAGGTAATGGGTTGTGTACTATGTGTAGGATGGGATGTGTTTTTCAAGAGTGGCATAATAGAGATTGGATATTCTAGGGGAGGAGTTATTGGGGAAGGGACTATCGGTAGAGTTTAACACTAGGGTTGGGAAATAGTAAAAGTCATATCTTGTAATTGCCAAACAGTAATCAGTAGTCGATTGACTAATTACTTCCAAAAAAACGGTTAATGCTTCCGCCTTTTCATTTTACTCCGCCCACAAAGAACAGCGACGAAGGCTCATCGCACCATAACTTCAATAGAAATCTTCAGTCAAATGAAAACCCAGTGAAAATCCAATGAAAATCCTCTGAGGGTGGAATTCACCACCCGTGCCAAATGAACTCTGCCACCGCCAGCCTGCCGACTTTTTCCTCGCCATTATGTGGCGAGCTCAGCAGCCGCAGAAATTGCGTTAGGCGCCGCGTGTGGAAGCTGAATATTTCTCTTTGCGTTACAGGCTGGGCTCCGGACTGGTTCCCGGTATGGTTTGAAAAAAAGAGAATGAGACCAGTGGGGATTTTAGTATTGAAAACAGTGTTCTGAGCACGAGAAGTTCGCTGGCTCGTGCTTCTCGATCCAAATCGTGAAGGGAAAATGTTGAAATATTCCGAGATTGTAAGTGCGTGCTGAGACGATCGTTCACTCAGCCGGAACCTTCAAATGCTGTTATCCCACCAGAGACGAATCCCCTGTTCTTTTTACGCTTAGCTGTCTGAGCTAGCTATTGCATAATCATGTTTTTCTGTTGTACAGTCGACTACAGAATGATGTTCCACTCCTCAGAAGCTATCAGTTGACCGGAGCGCTAAGTTGTGCCGTTTATCACGCAATTAAGCGTGTCGATTGTGAGCATTGGGACAAAGCTATGTATAATTTGTGAACTCAGCCCGTGTGATGCGGCACAGCCTACCACTCCAGGCAAATAATTGCCTGTGAAAAGTGGAACATCATTCTGTAGTCGACTATACCTACTATGAAATTCAGCAGAACGCCCTCTTTGTTCGACAAGTTTCCTTTTGAAGCTCTCAGCTCAACAAAACCCACCTACTCTGCATAACATCCACACATTCCACCCCGAGTAGATAACCAACCCTTAATTCTACCCGCCACTATATTCAGCCCCTATCCATTCTCTCCTAAGATCCGGCCGGTGGCGGTATCTACCCTCGCTGCATTTCCCTCTCATTCGAACCATAACACACCTCCCCTAGTACATAACCCCGTCTTTACTGGGTACGTGTGCCGGCTTTATTGAAACTCTCCGTCTTCGAGCGAGTACAATTGTCTGGGCCGGCGGGCCGTGATGACAGCGTCTGGATCCACCCAGGTCCTGTCGGGACAGATTTGTATGGGGCTGACGCGGCATGGTAAGCGGGTCTAGACGACTGGAATGCTGCTGGGGTCGCCTTCCGGAAGGGGAGGGAGAAATATACTGTCTTTAAATATTTTTAGTTATATAACGACTGTTTTCAATATTCTTGGTTACGCCGTTGTATGAGCTTTAGTGGTTGGAGTCGGGACCGTGCCTTTTTACGAGTCAACGGGTGTTTTAAATCGATGGGCAAGCAATTTGACTACCTTTGTCCCCACTGTCGCCCGTCCCCAGCTCTCTCTCTCTCTCTCTCTCTCTCTCTCTCTCTCTCTCTCTCTCTCTCTCTCTCTCTCTCTCTCTCTCTCTCTCTCTCTCTCTCTCTCTCTCTCTCTCCTCTCTCTCTCCCTCTCCTCTCCTCTCCCTCTCTCTCTCTCTCTCTCTCTCTCTCTCTCTCTCTCTCTCTCTCCATCTCTCTCTCTCCCTCTCCCTCTCTCCTCTCTTTCCCCTCTCTTTGTCTCTGCTCTGTCTCGTCTCTCTGTCTCTCTCTCTCTCTCTCTCTCTCTCTCTCTCTCTCTCTCTCTCTCTCTCTCTCTCTCCCTCTCTCCCTCCCTCTCTCTCTCTCTTTCCCCCTCTCTCTGTCTCTGTCTCTCTCTCTCTCTCTCTCTCTCTCTCTCTCTCTCTCTCTCTCTCTCTCTCTCCCTCCCTCCCTCCCTCTCCCTCTCCCTCTCCCTCTCCCTCCCTCCCTCCCTCCCTCTCCCTCCCTCCCTCCCTCCCTCTCCCTCTCCCTCTCCCTCTCCCTCCCTCCCTCCCTCTCTCCCTCCGCATCCACTCGGCGTGTGTTCTCAGCACTGGCCGGCTCTCACTAATGAACTCAGGATAAGACGGACGGCCAACCTCCGGGCCCTGGACTCTTATGTCTGGACTCCGGATTCCGGATTCTGGGCTCAGCCTCGGTGGACTGTCGCTTCTGGCGAAACGGGACTTGGAATGGGGGGAAGGGGTGGTGCTGAAAGTGGGTCAGTGGGGAAATAGGGAGAGTGGGAACTGAAATGTTTACGAGAGAGGGAAGAGGGAGAGGGGAATAGAAAGACAAGCAGGAATATAGACAGAGAAACAGACCAGCAGACGAACAAATGCACAGGTGAATTATTATGACAAATGTGGAATATTATGCACAAACGTTCGTGAATTTATAAATATCGCAACTGACCCCACCCCTCCCTATCCACCGTGTCTCCTTACATTTACCCCCCCCCCCCCCCCCCCCGACCCTCCGTAACCTCCCTGTCCCTCACGGAACCCCGTATCAATCCCCTTAAGGTCACTCCCATAAACACTGACGCCCCTTTCTCTCTTCCGTTTTGACCCCTCACTGGCCCTTCACTGACCCCTCCCCCGCCCGCAGGTGTGGGTGTTCTGGACGGCCTTCTGTATGCGGTTGGCGGCCACGACGGGCCCACAGTCCGAAAATCAGTGGAGGTCTACAACCCGCTGATTAACACCTGGTCGCCGGTGGCCAACATGTCAACCTGTCGACGGAACGCTGGTGAGAGGAACGGGGAGGGGAGAGAGGGAGAGCGAGGGAGGGAGGGAAAGGGAAGGGAAGGAAGGGAGGGAGGGAGAGGAGGAGGTGACGTCATAGAGACAGTAGGTATGTCCTCTCAAGAATGCTTTTTAGTTGACATTAACTTTTTGTAATTTGTTTTGTTTGTGCCTTTATCGTGCCTTTATCTTTATCTTATATTATTATAACATTGTTCGCTGTTACGTAACCTGAGTGGTCAAGTATCCTGAGTGGTCAAGTATCAAACAATGCGGTCGATTCCTATATGTTCACCTTGCCTGGTGCATAGATGTGTTTCGCATCAATCACCGTACTTACCATGTTAGTGAATAATATTTTATTATTATGTTCCTGTATGTTTGATGCAGTCTTGCAATGCAATCCAGCCATCCAAGAAACTTTGCGCGAGACGTTTTCTTGGATGGTTTTCTTGGATAGCTTGATTTCATCGAGGGCTTCTGTTTTAAAGAAAATTTGTAAGCTTTGCTGCACTGTTAAGTAATTAGAACTGCCAGTATTTCAGTACCTAACGTGTAGTTAATGTTACTTTATTTTATTTATGCATATTTCGGCCTTTTTTAAGCAGATAACGAGCGATATAAAGAAACATACAGGAAATAATATCCAGGACTCTACCGCGAAGAAATATTTCTATCTCGAGTTTTCAAAGAATTTCATGCACTCGGCCAAGGCCTCGTGCATGAAATCCTTTGAAAACTCTCGATAGAAATATTTCGTTTTCGCGGTAGTATCGTCCAAGAATGTATATTCGCTCATCCTCCAGGCATTGTCGGGCACATAGTGGCTCACTAAGTAAACAAATCCATCAACGAATTACACACTCCGTTGGCGAATGTTTTAATAACATGATATGCGCGGCTGCTGCCCAAGAAAAAGACTTATTATATTGGTATAATAACTTTATATTGATACAATAGCCTAACTATATCTAGGGGGCCGGATTTATCCAAATTAACTTTAACCCGCGCCCGGCTGGGGGTCCTGGATTTCCACGCCCTGCTGGGGGGGGGGGGGGGTGTTTGAACACCCCCCTTGTAACTCGGCTCCTGGGCCACGTAGCGATACGCGGAAGGCGGCGTTCGAAAGAGCGTCAAAAATAATGACGAAATCACTTCGGTCAATTTTTTGGTCAGGTCAAAGGTCAGGTCACCAGAGGTCATTGAAGGCAAAATTTCGCCGATTTCCAGGTTGAATATCGAAAATTTTCAAGAAGCCAACGCATAACTCGGGAACCAATAGAGCTACAGCGCCGCGGAAAAAGCGCATTCGATAGCCCTATTAACGCCCTTTCTGAATAATTCTCTCAGATTTGACCCTAACGTCAACGGTTTTGCCTGCAGGGGGCAAAAACTGCAAAAATAGCCGATTTTTTCGGAAACAGTTTTTCGGCAATAACTTTTGACCCAAGCCTTGTACGAGCTTACTTTAACCGGCATCGTGTTCCTCTCGTCAAGGCGCATCGAATGAACTATAACTTGACCTTAAAAGGTCAACTTGAAAATTTGACCTCAGGTCAAGGTCATGACCTGACCGGAAAGGGTCATGTTGCATATCAGTCGATCCGTATCGTCGAGCTGAACACATCTAAGGCGTTTTCATCGCTCTAGCATGCCTCTATCAAAAGTTATTTGCGAAAAACTGTTAGATACCATTCGTGACCTAACCTTCCAGGCGGTGGGGGGGGGGGCATTTTTTTTGCCCCCCCCCCCCTTTAGTTTTTTCGATATATCTCGAGAACCGCTGCGCCGATCGTCAACAAACTTTCAGTACCCTCCCGGGAGCAGCTAGCGCACATGGTGACCAAAAATTTTTTCCAAAGGCTATGATAGGTTGGCCGCTAATGACGTCAGAGTGACGTCATTTTTGCCATTTTCGACCCAAAAAAGGTTTCGCGGGAAGAGCTGTCAGGCCTACATCTTTAGAGATACAGAAAAATGTTTTAGACATAAAAGGTGTGGAATTAAAAGGGCTACAAAACTGCTATTTCGGTTTTTCGAATTTTTTGGATTTTGACCCCCAAAAATCAAAAAATAGATTTTTTGAATATAATAGCCGAAAAATCCAAAAAGTTTTTTTGAATTTCGAAAAAAACCGGAATATATGTGATAGCCCCTACCGCCTTCTATCTACATACCAAATTTGAGATCGATACCTCTTTTTTTGGCCAAGTTATAGCGAAAAAAACTGTTCAAAATTGATGACGTCAAATTTTCAAACTCAATTTTTAGCAATTCTAGACCTCGTAGCGCAAAACAAAGACCACCATTAGACTTCCCGTGACGAGCTGCATCGAATCGATACCCATTTTATGCAAAAATATCAACTTTGAAATTTGACCTTTTTTGACCTGACCTTGACCTGACCTCCACCAGAAAGTGACCTAAACCGTACCTGATGGTCTTATAACCAACACCATTGAGTTGGAAGTGAAAAACTGGCCATAAAACATGCATCGCATAACCTTAGTAAAGTTGGGCTCATGTGGTGACCCTTGGTGACCTTTGGTGACCTGACCTGTGACCTGACCTGGTATGACCAGTGACCTCTAATAGCAACATATCTACTAGGCAACTGACGCCCTATCGCTGATTCTCGACAAAGTGCGTTTTCCTCGGTGTTATAGCGCATTCCCTAGTAGACCCGTGAACGGTGAAACATTTATCTTTGACCTGACCTGTGACGTCATCGGTGACCCCGAGGTCAATGAAATTTGGTTTCCCTCGACAAATTTGACAGGCCTTTCGAACGCCGTTTGAATTTTGCGGATCCGTCCAGTAGTTTCGGAGATAGGAGGGGGGGGGGGGGCACAAAAATAGCCCCCCCCACCAGGTCGCGTTATAAACAGACCCCACCAGGGCGCGGGTTAAGCTCGTCGTCCACAGGTTAGGCACGCACTATTACGCGCTGAATTTTACATTGGAATCTGTGGACTGCACGTCGGCTGCAGTTTCAGCGCTGAATGCGCGGCAAAGCGCAGTCAGCTGATGATTCGGCGGCCGTTCGGCGCCGAATCACGCGCTTACGAATTGAAATAGGTAGTTCAACTTTTCAGCGCGTGCTAGGCTCATAACGATTGCGCGCTGAATGCGCGTTTAACCAACGGACGGCCAGCTTTACCCTCTGATTCGTGTTACGCTTCCATGAGGGCCGGGATGTGGGTGGGCCTCATACTGTTACGGGTCGTCCACGGGCGGTCAGACGACCGCAGCGCCGCCTGCAGGTCAGATTCCAAACTAACAGCGAGCCGAAGCATTGATAGACGATTTTGTTATTGAAAAGCTCACACTTGTGTAAAGGGGAATGTAAAACAAAATGTAAATACAAAAAGGGCAATGTTTTACTCTTAAAGTTCACACACTCTTCATTAGCTGCAACCTTTGGAGGGACGATCATTGTTATAAACGCTTGCAGACGGATAAAGTAGTGGGCTACTGTTGAATATGTAATAAAAACTGAGCCCACTGTCCCATACGGTACCAATGAGATCACATGACACCAGGGAAAGTCTCCAACACTTGCACGCAACAATTTTGTAAAGACATACTCAGCCCGAAAAAGTTATCGGTTTGGTCATTAAAAGATGTTTGTTGACTGATCAGCAAGTGGCAATTGTATATTTTCAGTCATTAACCCGCGCCTTGCGGGGGGGGGGGGTGTTTGAACACCCCCGCTTGTGGTTTTTCGCGAATATCTCAAAAACGGCGGCGCGGAGCGCCGCCGTTTTTGGTACACCTTATCATAAATCAATCTACACATGTTGTGAAAATTTCAGACCAAGGTCATTCAAGGTCAGGTCACCAGGTCATTTGAAGTGACCTCACCTCATAAAAAGTTTCAATGTCTGTCATAGCTACACCGAGTGACCGATCGCTTTGAAACTTTCAGCGATTGCTAAGAGCAATAGCATGTACAAAATGTATATCTCAGAATTTTGATATCGATGACCTAAGGTCAGGTCAATTTTGCGACCTCCCCATTATAAGTCAATGGGAGAAAATTGAAATGCGCCTCTTTTGGACAAAAGACATATAAACACTCCCAAACACCGAATTACAAGTGGTTTAGACACACTGAACATGAAACTGGTGTCCGTGACCCTTGTTTATGCCCTGAGGTCATCTTAGGTCACGAATGATGTCTAACAGTTTTTCGCAAATAACTTTTGATAGAGGCATGCTAGAGCGATGAAAACGCTCTAGATGTGTTCAGCTCGACGATACGGATCGACTGATATGCAACATGACCCTTTCCGGTCAGGTCATGACCTTGACCTGAGGTCAAATTTTCAAGTTGACCTTTCAAGGTCAAGTTATAGTTCATTCGATGCGTCTTGACAAGAGGAACACAATGCCGGTAAAAGTAAGCTCGTACAAGGCTTAGGTCAAAAGTTATTGCAGAAAAACTGTTTCCGAAAAAATCGGCTATTTTTGCAGTTTTTGCCCCCTGTAGGCAAAACCGTTGACGTTAGGTCAAATCTGAGAGAATTACTCAGAAAGGGCTTTAATAGGGCTATCGAATGCGCTTTTCCGCGGCGCTGTAGCTCTATTGGTTCTCGAGTTATGCGTTGGCTTCTTGGAAATTTTCGACATTCGACCTGGAAATCGGCGAAATTTTGCCTTCAATGACCTCTGGTGACCTGACCTTTGACCTGACCAAAAAATTGACCAAAGTGATTCCGTCATTATTTTTGACGCTCTTTCGAACGCCGCCTTCCGCGTATCGCTACGTGGCCCAGGAGCCGAGTTACAAGGGGGGTGTTCAAACACCCCCCCCCCCCAGCAGGGCGTGGAAATCCAGGACCCCCAGCCGGGCGCGGGTTAAACAGTCTAGTTTTCTACTGCAAAGGTATCTTTCAGGCACATTCTTGATTCTATGTATCAATCGACGTACACAAACATCAAAATTTATATTTAACCGGTGACATACTAGGACATTGTCAAATTCAATGTCTTAATTCAATTATACAAAAATATCACATTTACAAAACTGCAGTTCATTTCCGGCCGGGCACATCTGGTCGACACGCAGTTTTGGACAGTCACCAATACCTCACACAATTCTGACCAAAGGCCATACACTGTGTCTTAGTTCCTCATCTTTATACTGAACTCAGCTGCGATTAATTGTGGAGCTGTCCAGCTGATATTTCTGTTCTTTGGTGAGCGCATTCATCGCCGTCCATCGCAGTGTTGAACATACCTCCATGGGAGGCAGCAGCTATCCGGTCCACCTCCTACCACCAATATTCAACGTTCAGTCCATTACCACCGTGCGGCTAACACTAACGGACGCCAGGAGCCGGCCGCTGAACGGAGCTGTTCCGGGCGGCCGTCTGGGTCAGCGCGTCACCGACAGCCAGCCGGCGCTGCAGGGTAGTGACCTTCCTGGACAGGTCGCCCACACTGACCAGCACCGTGTTCAGTTTCTGACAGAGCGCGACGGTGGCGTCCCGCTGCGCCAGAGCCTCCTTCCGCCAGCGCTCTCGGCGGCGCTCGGCCCGACCCGGCCGGCGGGGCGGACCCGTCCCCGTCCCCGCCACGGCCGCAGCGTCAGGGCTGGCACCGAGGCGGTCCCCTGTTTTCCGGACGCGTGGTGTGTCGGTTGGTGGGCGAGGCTGTGTGCTGGATATCCGACTGTCTTGTGCTGGGTGTTTGCTGGCGGTTGCCCTGTCCGACTCAGGTGGGTTCGGCACCGGCTTTGCCTGTCCCTTACCAGCTTTCGTTTTTCCGTCCACTGCGTGCGCCGGCTCCGGTGTTGAACTAGCCTGTCCTCTGCCTTCTCTGGCTGCTCCACCGTCCACTGCGTGCGCCGAGTCCGGTGCTGGCCTCTCCTGTCCTCTGCCTTCTCCGGCTGTTCCACCGTCCACTGGGTGTGGCAGCTGCGGGTCTGGCGGCAGCCGATCTGTCTTAGAGCTCGCCGTTTGGAGGACACCGCCCGGAGACGGCGCGGGCGGCGCTGCGACAGCGGAGGACGGCTCAGCCCAGGGGGCCCGCTCTGGCGGACTGACGCCGGAGGGCGTCTCGGCCCAGGCTGCGCGCGTCAGCACCAGCAGCTCCTCGTCGGTGACGGAGCTGGGCCGGCTGAGCTCGGCCAGCAGGGCGTCCAGCAGCCGCTCCAGGTGCTGGTCGGCCGGCTGCTGCTGGCGGCGCCGCAGCAGCGTCAGCAGACCGCGCTGCATCCAGCCGCGCGTCTGCAGACCGCTGGCCACCAGCGCGCCGCCGCCGGACGGCCGCAGGTACACGGTGCGCCGCTCCGGCCGGCTGTTGGGACGGAACACGGCCGGACTGAGGTCGTCCTCTGGCTGCGGGTCCAGCGTCACGGCGCCGCGCGCTGCGGTGAACCCGCACTGGGCGCCGGCGGCCGGCGCGCGCAGCAGCGGCAGCACGGCGGCACGCTGCTGCTGACGGCGCAGCAGCCGGCTGGGCAGCAGGGCGCGCAGCAGCGTCGAGCGCAGCACCGTCTCCACCTGCAGGACCTGGACGGCCGTGTGGCGCAGGCTCTGCAGTTTGGCCTCGCGGAACACGCCGCGCGTGTCGGCCACCGTCATACCGATCAACAGGTTCACCGCCATGATGGACATGAGCGCGATGAAGAGCGCCAGCAGCGGCCCGGCGCTGGCGCCGAACCCCGAGCCCAGGAAGACGTCGTCGTAGTTGTACTCCCCGACCATCATCATGGTCGTGGTGATGTGGGAGACTGGCAGCGTCATGAACGGACCCCAGACATCGTCCTGGCCGGTCGACGGCGCGCCCAGCAGCACGTGAAAGCCCACCGCGAACCCGATCACCAGCGGCGTCAGCAGCAGCACGAACAGCATCAGCCGGCGCGCCGCGCTCACAAACATGTTGATGTAGACGCCGAAGGTGGGGAACCGGCCCAGCATCAGCGTGAGTTCTAGCCAGGCGGTTGGCAGCGTCCACGCCACGGTGTGCTCGAGCCAGTGGAAGCGGTCGCTGGTGCCGCCGTGGGCCGCCAGCAGCGCGCCAATGAGCATCAGCAGAAGCACCTCCACCCAGTTCTCGAAGCTGCGCACGTACTGGTGCGGGTCGTGCACCACCTGGAAAACCTCCCGAACGGCCATGATGGCTGCCAGCGGCGCCACACCGACAGCCAGCGCCGTTTGCGCTCCGTCACTGGCCCGTCCGAGGCGCGCCCAGCAGTAGCCACTGACCATCAGAGTCAGCGCGGCGCACAGCGCCAGGTTGACGTAGTACAGGTGACGCACGCGACACCACTTGGCGTGCAGGAACGGCTCGACGGCGTCGTGTTTGAGCAGGTGGAACTGCTGGCTGGCCACGACGGCGGCCAGCAGACGGTCCTCGGTGGCCGGCGAGCCGCCGCAGAAGGCCGAGAACGTCACGCTCACCTCCAGCGTGCTACTCTCGAGCGGCGCGTCGTTGGTGGTGACGCAGCTGTCGAGCGCGGCCGGCACGGCGTCCGGCGCGCGCTGCAGCAGCGCCAGCAGTGTGGCCGCGTCCACCGCGGCGCCGGCGGCCAGTAGCGGTCGAGCCGTGTCCGGTCCGGCGGCCAGCGCCAGCGGCGGCCGACCGGCGCTGTTGGCGCGCTGCAGGCAGGCCGGACTGAGCCGCAGCGCCAGCAGCGTGGTCAGTCCGCTGCCCGACTGGACGGCCTCGTGCAGTGGGCTGTTGCCGGCCGAGTCGGCGCGGCCGCAGTCGGCGCCGAGCTGCGCCAGCGCGGCCAGCGCCGCCGCGTGGCCGGCGCCGGCGGCTAGGTGACAGGCCGAGCGGCCGGCGCTGTCCGTCTGCTCCAGATCGGCTCCGGCAGCCACCAGCAGGCGCGCCAGCCGGCCCGTGGTGGTGGCGTCCAGCCGGCCTGCGGCGGCCAGCGCGTGCAGCGCCGTGCGCCCGTCGGGGTCGGCGCGGCGCGGGTCGGCGCCGCGGCTCAGCAGCAGCGCCGTCAGCGCCACGTCGCCGGCGGCCACGACAGCGTGCAGCAGCAGGTTGGGTCGGAACTGCGTGACGCCGCGCCACCGACCCTTCAGCGGCACGGCCATCAGCGGCGCGCTGAGGTCGGCGCCGCGCTCCAGCGCGCGCACCGCCCGCCGCCGGTCGCCGCTCATACAGGCGCGGAACAGCTGCTCCTGGGGGCTGAGCGCGCCGCCGACGGCGCTGTCCAGCTCGTCCCGACAGCGGCGGCCGGCGGTGCGCCGCAGCGCCGGAGCCCGCTGCATGACTCCTCCGACACCAACCGAAACACACTACACACTCTCAGACAGGTCCGCCGCCTCCACTGTCACTCTGCGCGCCTCCTCGGTCGACTGATGGCACGCTATCGGCGCTCCCAGCGCAAACTGACACGTACCGGCCTGACTCAGTCGCCGCCGCGCCGGTCTATCGAGCCGTTATCGTGTCGCGTTGGCTCTCCATTTCTGTCGGTACACTGACGCACGGACCACTTCATACACTCGGAACTACGCTGGTCGGTGTGTGGGTTTGATGCAGCACACAGGACCGTGTAAGGCTGTGTCGGGGGCTGTGCCATATTATGCCAACTACCAGGCCGTAGCACCACATTGACAGACATAGCTGTCTAACATTTATGCGTTGTTCGCATTTTTCGTCCTTATTCGCATGTCTTAACGGCTAACGCCGACCTTTGCTTTTTCGAATGTTGTGTAGGATAAGTAGAGAGACCTTTTGCTTTATGAACTGTGAAGTCGCTGTCTTTGGACCTGTTCAATGTTCGGTTTCTGCTCTTGTCTGTCGTGCTTCTTCTGGCCGTTCCTGCTCAGTCTCTGCGCTCTTCTTGTCTGCTTCTTTTCGGTCTCTTGTCTCCATGCCTCCCGCCAGTGCCGCTTGTCCACCGTGGCCTTCCGTCAGGTTACCGAACCAATGAACCGGTTACTATCGCGACGCCACTCTAAACTGTCACCACTGTTCCCGGCACACCCGTCACACCGCCGCTATCGGCCGGATACAGTCAGCCCCCAGCTCCACCTTCTTCTGCGGAGTCTCTGATGTCATTTCAGTTACCTGCTTATCGGCACTGGACACTGAATGGAACGCCACCTCTCTCACACCCGTCAGAATAGACACTGAAGTATCCGAAACCACAATCCACCGTTACGCCACGATGCCATGTCACGCGGCGGTGTTTGCGTCTGACAGTGGGGGCGAGACTACCGACCGTCTTGGCATGCCTCCTCCACGCGCCGCGCCCCTCCCGACTGGACAAACACCCCACCGGGCCACGCGGACGATTGACACACAAGGTCGAGCAGAGTCCACCTCACACGCAGCGCCGGGCCGGAGTGTGGAGGAGTGCGCTGTGCGAGCCGGCCGTACCGTTAGGCGCCTCCGGGTCACGGGAAGCGGTAAATGGGGAACCACCCACCATCTGTTCTGTGGTACCGCTCGGCGTTCACTTACTTACCAGGCGCTGACGGACGGACACCGCCATTTCTGTTGGGTTGTGGGGTTGCACCGACGGCAGTATGCTGTGCGCAACGAGAACGTAGAAATAGAATGGGGGGATGTTTCGCTAAAACTCCACTTAACTCCCTTCCAATGCAACGTCGCATGAATTTCTTTAACCGAATTCTCAGTATCATGCACGTAGCGCTGTTTGGCAGTCATGCTTTTGAAACAGGGTTTAATTCAGGTCACCAGCGTGACTTCATAGCTGGAGTGGCCAGTTTTTAACGGATCAGGGCGGGCAACTGTAACTCGCAGCTGTTCGCTGCTGACCTGCTGACCCATGACGATTAACTTTTATGATTAATTAGATAAGACAAACAATTAGAGACGAGGCGCAAACTAAGTACTTTCGGGAGAATTTGTGCCAGTTATCGGCGGATGCTTTTGCGTACAAAGTTTAATTTGTATTTTTAGATACTAGACAGGTATAAGACGAAAGAACTTTCTTGTTCGTGCTAACGTGTTAGCCTCAGCGTCACAGTCGCAGTCGACTATGCTATCGGAAGAAAATCGGTTAGGTTTCCCACTGCGTGTCGTCGTCTCAGAACGGATGTTTTGACGGTCCCGTCCCCTCTGCGTTTGCTCTGACTAGTGACTCAGTAGTTATTGGATAAGGTGGTCCAATCCGATAATTCTGACCAGGCCGACTATCAGTCGAGCATAGACGCTGTGGACCAAGGGATCCGTATGGTTCGCCTAACTACAAGACGGACTATGGGCAGTTGTCAAACTTGTGAGATAGTATTGATTGACCTGTGGTTTGTGGGCTGATACTAACCGACATTTCTTTGTTCCGTTGCAGAAAGAGTGGCGTGAGGACTTTCCCAATTTTAAGAAGAAGGTGGCGCGCTGCGTGCGGCGGAGTCAAGAGGAGTGCTGAGTGGTGTTGCCGGCCCGAGGACCTGCTGCACTGGTGCGTGTCCTTCCAGCCGGCCAGCCGGCGGTGGCGGCAGGCGGGCCCCGTGCGCCGGTGCCGGCCCCGTCCACCCCCTGTATATCGTACCGTCAACCATGTGTCAACGCACGGAAACATGACGACCTGTGAATTAGCAACGGTGCTGAAATTTTTAGTCTCCTTTGATCGTGAACGCGCTGGTACCCCAATGTGATTCCAGGTTGGTAAACCTCCCGTTAGATTTATCGCGTGGTTTCTTTTTCACGGCTCCGCTGAGTGTTAAATCGGCTGTGGAACATGCGTGCTGCGTTGGCCGGAAATGAAGCAGCTCGGAGGATGGTCCCGTGTTTGATGTCGTTGAACGTGTTGCAGGCGGCCCCGTGGAACTGCGCTGTGATAGGACGATCGCTGGGGCCGGGCGGGCCGGCCGCCGCTCGCCCTGGTCGCTGGCTAGTAGTCGGGGCCCGGCGCGCGACGGCGGCAGGAGGACCGTGCCGACGACCGACGGACGACGGACGACGGACCGACGTACGGACGGACGGAGGGCGGAGGACGGCGCGAACGGAGACGGACGGCGGACGGAGGGGACGGCACGGCGCTCGACCGGAGCCACGGCGGAGGGACAGGGACGGGACAGCCGGGAGCGGTGAGTGGGACAGCTGGGACGGAGTGCGGGGACGGACCGACGGACTGGGCAGTGCTGGGGGGTCCAGGAGGCGGCCGACGGGCGGTCTCGACCGCCGGCGCCGGCCAGCCGACTCGTCTTCTCGCGGCTCGCCGGCCGCCTGGTGACGGCAGCCGTCACTCGAAACTGTGGACTCAGCCGCCAGATGGCAGTGAGCGTGCGGTGTGGTGAGTGCCGAGCGCGTGGCGTCGTCTTCTTACCTCAGTGTGGGTGTGAGTGTTGTGTCTTGTTGCGTGCTTATTTCGCCGACTGGGGAGGGCTGGTGGCCGGCAGGCTCGGATTGCTGAACAGAATCATCAGGCGCGATCTGTGGCATAAAATAATCTCTGCATTTGAGCTCGTTATTGGTCGTTTTGGTTTGGAAATAAATAGAAAGGTTTACGAGGAAGGTAATTGCTCTCGCCTACCCTTGCCGCATGTGTACATGCCTGTATGTAGTGGGGTATTTTATTTTCGGTGTGAATAAAGTAAGAATTTGTTCTTCCTACTGTAAATCGCTATTGACAAAAGCCTTGGTTTCTTCCGTTTCCTCTCTTGATTTGTGTTATGTTGTCCTGATGGCCTGTACCTTTCTCATTCGGTGGCAGAGGCTTCGAGACTGGAGGCAGCTTATCGTTTGCCTTCCAATTTCCTGTTGAGCCAGCCGGCAGTTTGCAAGGAAGGATCACACTAAGCTCGAGAGGACCGTGCCACCATCTTTCTCCTGTCCTAGGACCTTTAATTGGGTAGCATCGGCTTCCTTTCGTCGGGGACAATACGCTCGTTTTTTCGCGAAGCTTTAACCCTCGCGGGCCCGGGGGGCGTTTTTCGCCCCCCCCCTGGCGAATATTTGCGATAGCTCCCGAACGCTTAGGGATAGGAAAGCGAAACTTTCGGTACCTTTTCTCCAATCAATTTGATATCGTCTGAAGTAAAAAATTTGGACCTAGCCCCCTTGATGACGTCACAGGGTCGATTTTTCAAGACCCCTGCACGGCAAACTTCGTGGTCACAGACGCAAACTTCAAATAGCTGCTAAAAATAGAGTTTTAGAGCTAAAGACAAATTAGGAGCACGGTTGTGTAGCGTTTGTCCTAGAGAAAAATAGAAAAATAGTGTTGGTAACCTGAGGTCAGAGGTCAGGTCAACGACCCCGAAATGTGGTTTTAGTTTTTCGCAAATAACTTCGACAAAAATGGTCCTAGAGCTACGACAGTGGTACCATCGCATTCGTCTTGTCAATCCGCGTCGAATGATATATTTTGTTTGGAAAAGGTCAAGTTTTATCTAGCATCTATTTTCCTCTAAGCCTTCATTTAGAGCTTCTGGATGGCAAAATTGTCTTATTTATTATTACTAACTTGAATCAGTGAAATAGCCTCTAGCAAGGATACTTTTCTGTGACTTTGACCTTTGGGCAGCCTTGTATCGTAAGATTAACCACAAATAGGGAATTGATAAGCCTCAAAACATTTCAAAACATCTTGGAAGTTAGCACGCAAGATGTACGAAAAAATGCAAAGTTTGAGGACAATTTTGAGCGTGACCTTGACCTTGACCTTTGATTTTGAGCACAGGTTCGGAATTCTCAGATTCTCTTCATTCGTTTGACACCCAATTTTGCCGGTTTGATGCATCCTGCCGTCCTCTAGAACGCTAACTTTGAGAACACTACACATGTGCCGGTTTTTGCCTTTGACCTTGACCTCTGACCTTGAAAATTGACCTTAGGTAAAAAATGTTAGGTGCTTTAGAATCGTCTCGTAAGGACCTTTCGTTTGGTATCGCTTTTGTTTCCGTAACTCCCTTATTTACGGAGTTAGACAGGAGGGGGGGGGGGGCGAAAAACGCCCCTCCCCGGGCTGCGGTGGTTGGGATTACCCCCGGGCCCGGCCGGGTTAACTTGATCAGGGGCTGAACGGCCAGGGACGGGTCCAACGGACCCTCCTGTGCGCTAGCGGCTGGCAAAACAACAATACAGACGAAGATTAACACATCCTGGTCGGGTGAGGGATTGATGCCGCCCCTCGACGTCTTTTTTCGCGATTGTTTGGTTGGGACGCATCGGCAATAGCTGAAAGTTGGCATACTTTGACATTTCATTTGAGCCGGATATTATGACAACCGCATTTTCAGGTCAGGTTAGGTCACCACTCTATGACGCCATGAGTAAATCTCTGCGCGGTCCTAAATGTCGGTCGCAACCTCACAACGGGGAATATCATACAGGAAGATAAAATTCAAAGCGCATGGTAACCTACTCAGAGTAATCACAAGTTCAATAGGTATTAGAGGTGGCAAAATGTGGACCCGAGGACCCGGTCCAAAGAACCAGTCTGGACCCATATGGGTCCAGACCGGTTCCTGGAAATTTTATGACGGGTCCAACCGGGTCCTGCCATAAACTATACATCTTGCACACTACACATTATTGCAAATATGAAGTGAATTAAGTGAATGTTTATTTGCACACAGTAGCTCATGAGTATTCCCAATTGGAAATATGTAGACTGTTTTATATGATGCCACTAATGATACCTACAAGTAGTTTGTATTAATTGACTTTTGGGGAACGGGTCCAACTGGTTCCGATTCCAACTAAGACCGGGTCCGACTGGTTCCAGAAAGGTCCAGCCGGGTCTGGTTCGAGTCTGGTTCCCAAAATTTTCATCTTTTGCCACCTCTAATAGGTATCTTGAATTTTTCATAAAGGTCTCCAGGTTCAGGTCGTTCACGTTACTAGCAATAATTCAATGGGCGACTATAAAGGCCTGACTACACTATGCGTTTTTTTTACGCGCGTTTTTTTGCGTGTTTGCGTTTTTTCGCAATATCGTTCTTTATCTGAGGTCACTGATACCAGGTCAGGTCACAGCGAGGTCAGGTCACCGGGGGTCACAATATGAAAGTGTCGTGTGATACATGTTTTATGGTCCATTTTACATGACAAATGCGATTATGTGGGTTAGGCAGCCTTTGGGGCCAGCCTAGGTCACGTTTTGGTGAAGGTCAGGTCAAGGTCAGGTCAAATTAGGTCAAATTTCAAAGTGATATTTTTGCATAAAATGGGTATCGATTCGATGCAGCTCGTCACGGGGAGTCTAATGGTGGTCCTTGTTTTGCTTTTCGAGGTCTAGAATTGCCAAAAATTGAGTTTGAATATTTGCCGTCATCATTTTTGAACAGTTTTTTCGCTATAACTTGGCCAAAAAACGAGGTATCCATCTGAAATTTGGTATGTGGATAGAAGACGGTAGTTACTATCACATATATTCCGTTTTTCGAAACTCTAAAAATGTTTTGGATTTTTTGGCTAATATATCCATAAAAATGCTTTTTGATTTTAGGGGTCAAAACTCAAAAATTTCAAAAATCCGAGATACAGGGTGACACAAAAAAAAAACGGTCATCACCAAATTTCGAATAACTTCGGAAGTTTTATTCAGATCATCACCAAACTTCGGCCACTTAAGGTCACACCTATGTAGCATACATCCACCAAGTTTCAAGTCTTCACTACGAATACTTTTAGTACAGTATGTGTTTTACTGACGCTCCACAATGTGCTCCAGGTGAGCGCCACGGCGCTGCAGGGCGTAGGCACACTTGCATCCGGCGGGCAAAGTTGTCGATAACCCGATGGCTGTGCACTTTACAGAGTGCAATGGCCTCTGGAGACAGTGCTCAGGGGGTGTGCTACCCCTGAAACGTTATTCTTATCGGGTTGTCGGCAACTTTGACCGCCGGATGCAGGTGTGCCTACGCCCTGCAGCGCCGGGGCGCTCACCTGGAGCACATTGTGGAGCGTCCGTAAAACACACACTGTACTAAAAGTATTCGTAGTGAAGACTTGAAACTTGGTGGATGTCTGCTACATAGGTGTGACCTAAAGTGGCCGAAGTTTGGTGATGATCTGAATAAAACTTCCGAAGTTATCCAAATTTTGGTGATGACCGCTTTTTTTGTGTGACCCTGTAGCAGTTGTGTAGCCCTGTCAATTCTACACCTTTTATGTCTTGATCAATTTTATGTATCTTCAAAGCTGTAGGCCTGACAGGTCTTCTCGCGAAGGTCTTTTTTCGGTCGAAAATGACAGAACATGACGTCATTCTGACGCCATTTGTGGCCAACCTATCATAGCCTCTGAAAAAAAAATTGGTCACAATGTGTAAAATTGATGCCCGGAGGGGTCCTGAAAATTTCGTGGCGATATCTCCAGCCGTTTAGGAGATATCGACGGAAAAGGACAGGGAGGGGCCGTTTCGGCCCCCCCCCCCTACGGGGCGCGGGTTTTAACACGATGATGCCAAAACCGCGGCTCTGCGATAATCTTTGGTGAAGTGATCCACCAGAAACTGAACCCCGTACCTTGGGCAGCCACTTTACTTCAGAGGTCACTGAGACCTTTACAGCGGACACTAGTCGCTGCAACTTTAATGGCGCATACGGTCGTGTTTTCGGCGAACCTCCAGTTCAATCGCGGGCGAAACGGCGAGGAGGGAGGGGCACTGAATCACCTCTTCGGCCCTGGCTTGTATAGAGAACCGATAGATCCGGCGAAGGTCATAGCCCCTGAGGTCAATGGTCGCGTCAGGGCATGAAGTTTAACTAGCAGTTATTTGACGATAACTTTGAATACAGACATGCTAGAACGATGAACACAAATTGGATGTGGTCAGCTAAACGATACGGACCGTCCAATGTGGAACATGACTTTTTTCGTTCAGGTTGTAACATGAAAGGAGCCGACTGTTCAATTCATAGCCGTTTACATAGGCGGATCCAGAAAGGTGCAGTCCCAGAGGCTGCGGAGGGCATAACCCTGACAGTTTCTCCGAATTAAAAAAAACAACAACTTTGGATTGAGATTCCTTATGCAGTATGCAGTGCTGTTCAGTTTCAAGCAAACTTTGTACCTAATAAAAGCTTTCTTTCTGGTAATAAAAGCGTTTTCTTTCTTTTTAAGAAATGCTACACATTTCATTAATTTCGGGGTCTGCGAAGGGGCTTAACCCATAATGCCCCTTAGAATCTATCACTGACCGTTCAATTTTCAAGGTAAAATTATTTATATAATTTGATGCGTAGGTATCGAGAGAGAAACACGATGCGTAGGGGAGAGCGGGGCCAGTTGAACCACTTTTTATATATTGACATGCACAGCGAGATCTAGTTGTCATATCGAAAAATGCACAATGCCATGAAAAAATATGCTCTTTTGGCTTTATTTTAAGATATGTAAAATTATGTTTCAAACATATTTTGCTGCCAAACGCATGCTTATAAAACAGCTCTACGCCCGTTTCAAATGACCCCGATGCGAGGGCCAATTGAACCAGCCCATGAGGTCAATTGCACCTATCCTTAACAATGGGATGTTTTCCTCTTTAAGGCCACTTTCTTAAGGAGATATTTTGTTCGGTTTACTTTTCCAAATGCTACATTCAATAGGTCGTTTGAAAGCTAAAAGTGCAAAGTTCCTCATAATAGGTGACATAAAG